CCCCGAATGAGATTTCAAAATCAGGATTCCTGTTTAACTCAAGGATTTATGTCCTATTTATTTTATCGATTTAAGTTTATAATTTAAATTTTGTTACAATAAAAAGTTTTTAGAAACAGTCACATCTAATTTTTTTATTACAGTAAAAAACTCTCATATAAAATCACATCTCAACTTGAATTAAAAACTCAAATTATCAAACTAAATGGCCATAAATTTTTGTGAATTGAACTCCAAATAAGACGATTCTTTCTTCCTATATATGCATTTCTCATCCTGATAGCCCATGAAATTTGCCATACACATTAGGTTTTTTGAGATCCCAGCAACATGTCTTTGATTTATTTTTGCGTTTTCTCTCTCTTCTACATCTATAAAAACTAAAGCTTGAAAATACATGACTTCTTTGTCTTAATTTTAATTGAGATGATTTTTCTTTTGAGGCATTCAAAATGAAGAGATGAACAAATTCTCATTCATATAGCACATGAAAGTCTACCACGGATAATTAGGACCCGTTTAAAAAGTATATTCAAATTATGATTCTTGATTATAAAAGTTTTAAATTTAAATTTAAATTTGTAAGAAAAAAAATACTGCATCATAATTAATAATTTAAGTCTTAGTACATAGAATAAACGGGTTCTTAGATTTTATAAAATTTATTAGAAAAGTTGAAACGAATAAATTATGATATATTAAAGCTTAGATTAATGGAGTAGAAGAGAGGAAAAGACCACAAGAAATCACTAAATTTATAAAAAAAAAATTAATTTTAATTGTGCATGGACGTACAAGCCCCTACCATTTTAATCCATTTACTAAAACAACACCATTACAGTACCATTCTCCCACAAATGTCGGTTTCCTCAACATTTGCATTGCAATGTGTAACTATGACACGCATCACATCCCAACTCACCAAAAATGTGTAACCGGTTTAGATGTAGTGAAGTATCAAAACTACTAATTTACCGCAGCCTTGACCTATAAATATGTTTGAATCCTAATCACTTTATGTGAATTCCTTAAAAAAAATCCTCATTAAATCATGTAGGACGCATCATCCTTTTGAAATACGAATGAAAAGCAATCAGCCTCGTAGCAAAGTGGAAGAAAGAAAACTAAACAAAAGAACAACACGTCGATGCATGTGGTGGAGGGGAGGCACTTTGTCTTTATATATATATATATATATATATATGTTATTAAACTTAAAAGTAAAGATAAGATAAGATACAATTGACATGTATGAGGTAAAGAAAAAAATGTAAAGATAAAGGCTAAAAGAAGTAAAGATATAAAGATAAAGAAAGAGATATATCGTTTAGTAAGGATGAGACTCGTATTATGGTAGCATTAATATTATCTTACTTTTGGTGGACGCCATATTAAAGCGTTTGTTTAATGATAAATCGGTGTTCAACATTATTACTAATAAAAGATACTCCACTTATATAGCATTCATTTTATATTAATGACTAGTGAGTGATGTTCAATGTCAATGGTGTCCCCATGGCATTGTTCCTGTACAATTGCTTTTGCTTAGGGAATGTTTAGTTGGAGGATTCAAACTATGATTTGAATCATGGTTCATGATTCGTTACTGTGTTTTCTCTTATAAAAATACACGTAAATCAAAAATAATTCTAATCACATAATTCTAATCTATGAACCAAACGTCTCATTAGTATTTCTTAACATGCTTTCTATTTTGTTTTTAGTTTTTATTTCATATAATCTGATGGCCATAACTCTAGTTATGACATGAATGGGGAATTAGGATACCACGTTATTAATCATGGTCTCATTTATTTTATGAATTTAAATTTTTAATTCGAGTTAAAATGTGTTATTTTTTTAGAATTTTTCAAAAAAAAAAAAAAATTGGACATTTCCTGAATTGCCCATCTAGTGATACGGCCGACTCTTGTCCAAATTATGTGTACCACGTGCTTCGTCGGGAGAAGTACTGTCCGTCCAATTAACGCTTGGTCCCACCGACTTCTTTTAACCGAATCCCACCGACTTTTTTGTAATGCTTTAACTCACCGACTTTGTTATATATTAAAATAATGTGAAAATTTTAGTGACAAATGAAAAATTATAAAAATATTTAGGGATATGTTTGAGACGTATGTTTAATTAATACGTGATATGTAGCATTATATGGTCCTCATATTATTGTTTGAAAAAATGTCTATCTATACGAAAGTACGATTTCAACCGTTACAAATTGATTTTTGACAAAGCTTAATATTCAAAAATACATAACAGATAGTAGCACACTACAATTTAAATATTTTTTTTAATGTAGGAATGGAGAGAATTAAACTCTATATTTTAGGATAAGATTAAGTGTAAAGTTACAGTTAACAATGCTTTTAAAGATTCTTAAAAATAACATTCCATGTGATTAGAAAAAAGAATATAATAACATTCGATGTTATCATTTCTAACACCGTTATTTTATTAAGAATTTTTTTACATATATAGAAATGTCTTCTGTCAGCGGCCGTACTAATCCGATAAGTGTAAAAAAATTTTATTTAGTTATGTAATATTCTTTATGTGTTTCTTCATGTGACACACGTTTTATTTAATTAGTGTAATACTCAACAAAATGTTATATATTATATTACATATAACTTATTTTAATGTTATCATGTTATGCTAATTTTAGTGTTTTTAGAGTCTCTGTTTGTTTAATATATTTAAATTTAAATTATTAATTTTATTATATGTTATTTTAATTAAAATTTTAAATTTTAAACATTAGAATTAAGAATGAAGGTCTTAAATTTCTTTCAAGCTACTGCTTGTGATCAATCTTAGGCCTCGTTCGTTTCGCTGATTCGAGTTTATAATTCGAGTTTTGCTATAGTAAAAAGCTATCACAAATAATCACATCTAACTTTTTTGCTACAGTAAAAAGTTCTCATATACAATCACATCTCAACTCGAATTCTAAACTCGAATCAGCGAAACGAACGAGGCCTTAATTTTTCTTTTTTACTTTCTACCCTTTTCAACATTCCTTCTTCTTTTTATCCTTTCTTTGTTGTTACGATTAACTTTTTGTTGTTCTTACTTCATTGTTGCATGTTCCATTTTTTTCCCGCCACTTTTTCCTTTTAACGCGACCTTTCTTTTGTCTTTATTTGATCAATATCGCATAACCTTTTCTTTTGTTAACCGCGTGCTGTCTTTTTCTTTTTATCGGTAATTACAAAAATATAGGACTATTTGTTCACACTTTCTACTTCAATCTCCGAGAATGCTGTTATTTCATCTTGTCACTCTTCAGTTTTGTTTATTGTTACATGTTATTCCATTTTTCTATAAAGTGAAACACGATTATAAATTGTTGTTTTTCCTCTTAATTACAACCATATTACTCTTTCATATAAAATTCCTTTCTAACATGCTACTCACTTATTCTTTATTATTTATACGTTGGTTGTTATTATTTATTTTTTTTCCTCCTCTTTTAAACACTGTAAGAGCCCGTTTATATAAAATATAACTTGTTATGAAGGTTAAATACAGGAAAAATTTTATACTGATATTCTGTATTTTAGTACTTTGTGTTTTTAATAATTTTAAATTGGCACCCTTACGTTTTTAAAAATCATTTTGTGTATCTTAGAGTTTATTTAGGATATAAAATGTCATTTCTACTCTTCTTATTAATTAAACAAAAACCAATAATTTTTTTCAAAATCTGAAAACATTTTCAAACATTTTAAAATAATAAAAAAACTATTTATGATAGTACAATATTTTTTTAAAAGGTGCAGCCACAACTAGTATGTTAAAAACATTGCTAACATTGCATTCCAAGGAAAAAAAAGAAAGAAAAAAGCCATATATAACACACGAACAAATTTAAACCGCCATCATGTGCTTGAGTTACAATCATGAATAGAAGTATTCTTATATAAAGGGTCTATATAGGGTTACTTTTGAGCTATAAAATAATTTGGGATGAAATTGTGTTCAGCAATTTTTTTTTTCCTACCTAATTACGCTATAATATCCGTTTTCTTCAGAATCAATCCAATCCTTGTTTCAAAAGATCTGTGTTCATTAAATCATCATTTTGACTTTTCGAAAACATCATTAATGAGGTTTTCTCTTTCAAAACAAATCTTATTTTTGTCCCTACAGAATTTTCTTCGCAGCACAACCAATAACAATCCACTTTCCATTATTTGAAGAGGTCGAAGAATATAAATTTCCTACTTCTAAAATATGCTAAACAGTACCTAAAAGAGTTAAAAGAGACATGCAACTGAAAATCAATTAAGTATAATATTATTCAGGGGAAATATTCAAATTTGAAACGCTTTAGTGTTAAAACTCGCCCGGCTTTGAAAGCAGAAGCCGTGCTGTCCACGTTACTGCTTTCATGTTCAATCACATTCATGTCGTCTTTTCGTACAATGGTCTCCGCCTTACTAATTTACTACATAGCCAAATTATGTACGTTAGCGACGAAAATGAATAAATAAATACAAACTACTTATAATAGGGTTCTTTAATGGCGCCCGGGGTTTATATTGATCATGTCGGTATCGGTTATAAGTGTATCGTTTCGATTGTAATTTCATCTCTTAAAGTTCACAAATTTTCAAATGCATTTCACTATACAAAAGCTTAAAATTGAATTGAATTTGTCGTTTTATTTACAATTCCAACTGTAAGATTTACAAGTTATCGCAGTCTAGACCCTCGTCATAAAAACAATCCCTTATATTATAATTAAGTTTCCGTATATAGTATATTTACAGACTCAATGGGATCCAGCAAAGAGAAGTCATTTATCTCCAACATCTACATAAAGAGCATTTAAGATGCTCAACAACAAAGTCTCCCTCACAACCGAATAGAGAAGAAAAAAAGCATTAAATTTGCCAACAACTCCCAACCAATAACCAATCCCAAAACCACACATTTCCCTTTCCTTTTAATTCCCCCACTTTGGCCTATAAAGTCACCACACCAAAGAGACTTTGCCACGCATCACATTACACTCTCAAAACACTTCTAGCTAGTTAACACTCAAGTAACTAATTCACGTCTTTTTCTCCTCATAATTAGCAACTATGGCCAGCTCTAGCTCTGTCAAGATCGCCTGCGTTGTTGTCATTGCCATGGTGGTGGTGGCTGCGCCTGCCGCCGAGGCATTGAGCTGCGGGGCGGTATCGAGCAACCTCGCGCCGTGCATTAACTACGCCAAGAGCGGCCTCGGGCCCGTCCCCGGGGGGTGCTGCACTGGGATTAGGAATGTGAACAGCATGGCAAGGACCTCAAAAGACCGCCAGGACGCTTGCAGGTGCCTGCAGAACGCTGCTACTGCCATCAAGGGTCTCAAGCTCAACGTCATCGCTGGACTTCCCAGCAAGTGTGGAGTAAACATTCCTTACAAGATCAGCCCCTCCACCAACTGCAACACGTATGAATAACTTCTCCTTTTGTCACCATATATATATATATATATATATTTAGTAGTCAAATATTTTTTTCAACTCTTCCTTTAGTTACATATATATGAATCTGATTGTTCAAAAACTATAACTTCTCGTAAAAGGACAGACTTCTGTCTTAACTCCTTGACATAAACTCTCTAACAGTATAACCTATGAGTTTCTCAAATGAATACTCGTCGTAGAACGTACAACTATTTTTTTTTTTATTAGAGCGGGTTGTTTTCTGGGCTAGCTTAATGGCTAGTGCATGCATAGAGAAAATAATTTCCTCATTGAGTATATATATATATATATATATATTTATGACTCTTTTTCTTTTGTTATGCAGTGTGAACTGAAGTTGAAAGACAAAAGTAGCAATTTTCAGCTGGCGGATATGCATAATATGAGAATAAGTGTGTGGGTGCCCTACACATATATAATTGTCTCCTCTATAGGGGAGTCGTAAGCTTTATGGTTTTATAGTTGTAATTTCGTCTACAACGGATATGTAACTTTTGTTCGTTTGACAGAAGTACTTATTCCCTTTTTCATGTGATTGAGAAATATCAACTTTTTCCTCAGTAAATAAGTCTATCCATCAGTTTCTCAAGATCTTGACGACGATCTGTATTAAGCTGCTCCAAAGGGTGTGCAATATTAATTAATCGAACTTGATCCTAAATATACAAGGAACATCCTCTCGAATTCATAAAGATGGCCAATAAGCTATGGGTCTTGAACGTTGATACATGCGCACACGCGTACACACATATACACACACATATATCTTCAATAATCTTGACAATAAGATTATCGTCCAACAAATTCATTGCGTTAAAACCTAACGGGACAATTATAGAACAGTATTAACGGTTGATTTTGTTTAAAGAGTTATCGTTCGTAGTTATTAGCTCTCCTGACAAAAATCCATCGCTTCGCCACTGAATACACACACATCATACATATGTTTGTATGTATATTGTTGTATAATTACAAACATGTGTCAAGTCAAAGTACCGACCTCTAAGTTCACTTTTTACCCATCAACCCATGTTCCTTTATTCATTTTGGTCCCTTAACTTTAAAACTATATAAAAATAACCCTGTTTGGCCATTAAGTCACAAAAGACGTTAGAATTTCAAACAGAATTAATAACCGTAAGACACTCACATGATAGTTAACAAATGTATTTTAAACAAACTAATCACCACTAAATTAACTTTTTAATTGAAAAACTATATATGAAAAGAAAATTAAGAGAAGAGGTTATTAATTAATACAAAAATTAGACTTTCTGCAGGCAAAAACATTTTGGGATCAACAAAAATTTAGTAGCAGAAAAAAGTTTTTTGCAACCAAATGGTCACATATTGTTGTAGGGTAGTAGAACCATCCACAACCATTTTTTCCCCCCAAAAATGTGCCGAAACTGCAAAACAAAAACTGGTTTCCACGCGACTAAAGTATTATTTGGTAGAAAAATGTTATTTTCCGTGACCAAAAATTTTAATGAAAATTTCCATCACCATCAGAGTATGGAATCACCCACGAACAAACTCTGAGTTTGGTGCTAGAAAATTTTGGCCGTAGCAATATAGGTGATTTTACGGAATATATATATATATATATATATAATATGTTAAAAGGGCAAAAATATATTTTGATAACAAGCAAAGAATAAATCTATTTAAATTCATGTTAAAGGAGCGGTTTTAAAATACCCTTCACTAACAATTACTATAATATTTATTCGTTTGATTCCGTTGAGATTTTAACAAATTTTGTCACGAAAGGGTAAAACATAGAAAAATAGTATAATTTAGAGTACAATTTGTAACAATTTAGCCCAAATAGCGATATGAGAAATGATAATGAAACTCAGTTTCTTCATTGAAACACCGCGTTTTGAAGAGATACATTGAAAAATAAATAAAAAATAAAAAAAGAAGACAAAAGAAAAGGAAAATGAAAAGAAAAACAGCCTCCCAAAATATAGAAAGTTACATTTATCATGAGATATATAATTCATAAAAACCACAAAATTCTATATGTTTTTATGTATTTTTGAATAATATAAAAATCTTTGTTAGAGTTTTAATCCTATTTTGGTTGACATATGATTTTATAGTTATTTTAAGAATAAATGATTTATTATGACTATTTGAGGAATAGAGTTTTGATATTTTCGGATTTACTTAATTGACAATAAAAAATGCGTGATTTCTTTATTTACTGTGACTTACTATATGGAAATTTTCATAACAAAAAATCGGGATTTTCTTACTTTATTCGAATTCATTTGATATAGGTGCTCAATTTTCTACTGTTTAAATTTAAAAAAAAAAACTCATCTATTACATTATAAGGACAGTGATTGTCACCATATCAATATCAAACTTTTCAATTTCAATTAGAATTGAATATTTTGACAGCTCAATGTGCTTTGATGTCCGATCTTAAGAAGATTTGACTAACTTAGAATGATGTATCTCACCACTTTTCTAAGGGTAACGCTTTGTTTATTTAGATAATTACATATTGTGATTTATGTTTTGAGAGCTTCTAAAATGAGAGAAAATATTCAGAGCCTTTTACAAGCAAAGGCAAAGATGACACCTAAGGTTAGAGTCAGAAAGAACTTGTTATCTTTCTTTTTTATTTTTAAAAATTTTAGAGCCTACTTTGTTTAAAATTTTACAATATGTCACTTGACTCGTGTGATTAAAATGGTTACGAAATTGATGCCTCAATATTAGAAAATATCAAAAATTGTAACTTATTATAAGTTTAGGAATGAAGTTTTATATCAATTTTAAGTTGTAACAGCAAAGGTGAGATATCCGTTATTTGTTGAGGTCAATTTTGAAATCTAACTTGCTGTGGCATCGGCAAAAGCCATGAGAAAACAAATTCGACTTTGAAACCAGAATCTTAAAAAATCCGAAAAAGGATTGCGAGGTCGAGATTTAAGATGTTGAAGGTGATTCTTCAAACATTTTCTGTTCATAATTTTTTTTTTTTTTTTTTTTTTTTTTTTTTTTTTTTTGCATTTTCAATTGCTCACTTATTTTTCTCCATTTGGTTTGGCATTTACGAACCGAAATTTTAAGATAGTTGTTAACGAGTAATTTCTTTTGCATGGGCAACTATACGAAAGAAGAAAAAGGAAAAAAAGAAAGAAAAAAAGAAGATAAAAGATATAATAAAAATGGCACGTAGGTTAAAGATATAAAACCTCCCTTTCACTGGTTCAAATTTTAGTGATCTAAATCTTTTGAGTTAAACAGAAAAATTCAAACTGTATGGTTTAAATTGTAGTTCGAATTAACGTTTGGATGTACTATTAAAATTTTAATCTAAATAGAGAATAAAATTAAAACTTGTGTTTGATAGGTGTGAAAAGGAAAGAGAATAGGCGCCTTTATACTGTTAAAAAAAGGATGTGAACGGTTGAACTTCATAGGAGCTAAAATTTAAACTGGACAGTTTAACTCAGTTCAAACGAGAAATATTATAATTCGGACTGCGTGCTTACCAAACACGAGTTCAAACTGTTTAAACTGAGTTGAACTGAGCTAAACCAGCAAAACAAATGGGAGCAAAGAGTGTTGGAGATAAGTGTTAAAAAGAGTTTCTTTTTCAAGGTTTTGATGAGGATTAAAATGTCACTGAATGAACAGCTAGTGCCGAAATATTGAATATAGAAACTAGGACTGGATTTTGGGCAAATTTTCTAAATGGAAAATTGACGCTCTAGAGCTGAAAAGGGGTTTTAAGTTAGGAAGAGATTCATTCTATAACTTGTTGGGTACTTATTTGGATAATATATATATATATATATATAATTGCATGAAACTGAAAGTAGTTTAGAGCAATTCTGCAAAGTAAGAGCTGAGGGTTTACAGTGTTGTGACTTTAGTAGTCTTCAGACGACTTGTTAAACTTGTTTGTAATGACAAACATGATAGTAAGAGATTAAACATTTTTATTTTTCTTTGTAATCCCTGAATTCCACAAAAGGGTCACGTTAGTGTAATATTGGATTCTTTCCAAGTCGGTACCGAAAATGGCTGCGTTGAGAATTCAAGGAAATGCTGCGGAAAATGAAATTTGGAGTTTCAAAAGGTTTTGAGTTCACAAACAGCTGATCTTGTTTCTAATTTTGTTTCTTTTGTTAATTGTAAGTGAGCATGGCCTAAAAAGATTTGAGATTAATAAAGGTGTATTTTGACGAAGTCACTCTTTCGTTTACTTACGACATTCTTCACATTATTTCTTGTTTGTCTTGACCACATCTCCTCTAGTTTTGTTCATGATGAATTTTAGTAGTTAGTATTTAGGTCGAATATTGTGCTGATAAAAAGATTTGCATTACTAATTTACTACATAGCCAAATTGTACACGTCAGTGACGGAAATATAAGGATGTATTTAAAGGATGGATTCAAACCGCCTTGATTTGAGTTTAAATAATGTTTTTTTAAAAATAAAAAAAAATGAATTTAACCTAATTATAAACGGGCTCTAAAGAAGTGCTTAAAATCATGGTGCTCGAAGTTTGATTCATGTCGGTTACAAGTATATCGTTTCATTTTGTAATTCATGTCGGTTAAGGTGCTCAACCACAAAGTATGTCTCCTAACTGGATGGAGGAGAAACAAAGCATTAAATTTGCCAGCGACTCCCAATCCCAAAACCACACATTTCCCTTCCCTTTTAATTCCCCTATTTGGCCTATAAAATCACCAACATCAAAGAGCCTTTGCCACGCATCACATTACACAAATCTCCGAAAACACTTACTAGCTAGCTAGTCAACACTCTTAAGTAAACTCGAGTCTTTTTCTCCTCATAAATAGCAACTATGGCCTGCTCTAGCTTTGTCAAGATCGCCTGCGTTGTTGTCATTGCCATGGTGGTGGTGGCTGCGCCTGCCGCCGAGGCATTGACCTGCGGGTTAGTGACGAAAAACCTCACGCCGTGCGTTAAGTACATCAAGACCGGCGCGGGGAAAGTCCCCACAGCGTGCTGCTCTGGGATTAGGAATGTGAACAGCTTGGCAAAGACCAAAACAGACCGCCGTGCCGTTTGCAAGTGCCTGAAGGATAGAGCTAGCGCCATCAAGAGTCTCAAGAGCAACGTCGTCGCCGGACTTCCCAGAAAGTGCGGAGTAAACATTCCTTACAAGATCAGCCTCTCCATCAACTGCGACACGTATAAACAACTTCTCTTTTTGTCACCATATAACAATTAGTAGTCAAATATTTTTCTTAACCTGCAATTAGTCACATATGAATCTGATTGTTCAAAAAGTTTAATAACTTCTCGTAAAAGGATAGACTCTTGTCTAACTCCGGGACCCTAAAGTTTCATATAGTATAATGCATACGTAGAGAGAAAATACGTTGAATATATATATATATATATATATATATTGTTAGGTTTTTTTGTTGGCATTTATAGCAATAATATTAAAAAAATATTAAACAATTCTAGTTGTGCAAAAAAAAAAAAAAAGTGAGACATTTTTAAATTTCAAGAGAAGATTCTTTCATATAATTAAGTTTCGGAGATATGCATTAACTAAAATTATGGGGAGATAAAGTTGAATTTTTCTCTGGATATCTTTGCTATAGCACTCAAAGATTTGGAAAAGATAATCATAATCTAAGTTGAATTTAAAAAACAACTCAGACAAGGATTTGGTTTTGGTTCTATAAATTCAAGGGAGTTGCAATTAGTGGCGGACCAGGAAACTTTTCTAGTGAGGGGCGTGAGTAAAAGCAAAGTTTTAAATTAAAATAATAGTTTTTTTAATCTAAATGAGTCAAGCTTTTAATTGATTTAATTCACTTTTTAAGGTCTACAATCTACAAAATTGTGAACTTATATAGTAATTTTATTGATTAGTTACTTATTTAGCACTTTAGGTTAAAAATATGAGATACTTAAACATTAAAATTTAGGGCATGTTTGATATGTTTTGAAAATTTTTATAAAAATATCATAATTAGAAAAATTCAGGGGGCGGATTAAGAGAAAAAAACGTAAAAATTAATTTAATTAGGGTAAAATTAAAGAGGCTACCTTGGATCAGTGGGGACAGCCACTCTACGTAAGGTGGCTTTGCCACTGGTTGCAATTTCATTAGAGGATATTTTTACCAAAGATTTTAGAGGGAAAAATCGGATAAAGGTTCTGGTTTATTTTAAAAATCAAAATTAAATAATGTTGCAAATTATGTTGAAAAAAATGTGGAACATGTTTTGCAACATTCAAAATTTGAGAGATTTTGATCCAAGATTTGAGATAGGATTTTGTGCTACACTACATGTATCTTAAATCATATGCAAATTGATGCCTTCCTGGGTATCCATACGTTATGTTTTGAGTGGCCCACACTTAACGTTCTTGGTGAGAAGCATTTACAGTGAGAAAACGATCCACAGTGTTGAAGGGAGTTCAATTAATCATTATTTTTGGGAAGAAGAACTAGTTGTCTTCTAAAGAGAAAGATTTGCAATTTAAAGGGAGTTAAGTGTGAAGGACATTGAAGACGAGTAGTGCTCACTGAATAAGTTCATTAAGTTGATTCTATACGGTGTCGACAAAAATTAAAGAGGGAGTCTTTATTTATATAAATTCGACTAGTGTCTATATCTTTATAATTTAGTAGATTGTTCAATAACTTAGCGTGATCTCATGGATATAGATGGATACCGAACTACGTAAAATTCCTTGAGTACTTTTTATTAATGCTTTCGGTAAAAAAAGGTTCATTGCAGTTTAGTTCCAACAAAACTTGCAATGGAGACACTATACATAGATATTTCATATATATCTCTAAAATCTCTTATTATTATTATTTTTTTTATTTTTTACTTTTTTGCAGTGTGAATTGAAGTTGAAGGACAAAAAGTAGCCATGTGCAGCCATCGGATATGCGTAGAATGAGCAAAAAGTGTGTGGGTGTTCATGTGACCCTAAACATATAATTATCTCCTCTTTAGGGAGTCGTAAGTTTTATGGTTTTATAGTTAATTTCGTCTACAACAGAATAAAGGATATCTATCGGGTTCTCAAGATATCCACAACGATCTGTATTAAGCTACTCCAAAGGGTGTGCAATATTAATCGATTTTGTTTGTTTTTGTTTTTGTTTTGTTTTTTTGTTTTTGTTTTTTTGCTAAAGCAACATTAAACGAACTTGATCCTAAATAGTAAATAGGAATATCCTCTCGCATTCATAATTAAACATGACTAGTAATGATACGCCTAACCTACAATTTCACACTGTTAGATGAAAAAAACCACTCTTTGAGCGAGTGCCAGCTCCAAAATTTCAGAAACAGAAAGAAGGAAGAAGAAGAGGATTTCAACTTGGATATTTCATTGCTTGAGAAAAACAAACGGTATTCCAGTGACTCTTATACCTCTTGCCTCCTAATCCCAGCTACAGAGGCAATGCAACAAATTAACAAAAGGAGTTACAGAAATGCAATGGCTATGGAATCGAAGAAAAACAAAAATGGGAAAAACTGTCAACAATCCCGAGGTCTCCCCTCTAGACTAGTAATTCTTAACGACAATTTATTCTTCAAACGAAATAGTCTTCCAACCACGCTGGAGCCCTCCTGTTCCGTTTTGGGCCTTTTGCCATTTGGGCCGTGTCTTGCTCTTGGGCCATGTTCTGCACTTGGGCCATGTCCTGCTCTTGCTGACTCACCTCCTTTGTTGGTGAGCTGGGCCCTTCCACGTGTCGTCCAATTTGGAGAGGCAGGGTTGTATCATTCCCCACCCCTTGAAAAACCACCTTGTCCTCAAGGTGGAAAGCAAGGTACAGTTTGCAGAATCAATAAAATTTTCCCAAGTAGAGTTCTCAGGGGAAGAGTCCGACCATTGTACCAGAATCTAGTGGACCTCTCTGCCATGGTTAAGGACCGTACGAGTGGCACATATGGCAACTGGCGAAGACAAGGGCTTGTTGTCCACACTCTTGGTGGGCAACGGAAAAACCTCCTCTGTAAGTGGACCACGATACGGCTTGAGCGCAAAGATGTGGTAAACGGGATGAATTTTACACCCAGGGGAAGATCCAACTTATAAGCTACGGCTCCTACATAGCTGACCACCGAAAACGGCCCGTAATAGCGCTTCGCGAGCTTATGAGAAAGGCGGTTGGCGACCGTGGATTGGCGGTATGATTGTAGGCGGACCAACACCTTGTCCCCTACCGACAGTTGAAGATCACGACGATGAGTATTGGCCTTCTGTGCCATACGATGCTGTGCTTGACGCAAATTCTCCTTCAAGGACTGTAGCAAGGCATCCCTGTCCAACAATGCCTCGTCCAAAGCTTGGATTGAAGTTGAGCCCTGAGAATAAGCGGGGATAGACGGCGGTGGACGTCTAAAAAGTGCCTGAAACGGGGACATCTTAAGAGCACTATGGTAGCTGGAATTGTAACAAAACTCAGCCCAACTGAGGAGCGAGACCCACGAGGATGGCTTCTCTTGAGTGAAAGCATGTAAATATTGCTCGAGGCTGCGATTCACCACCTCCGATTGTCCGTCGATCTGGGGGTGGTAAGCAGTACTGTGACGAAGAGAGTGTCACTCAACTCAAATAGCTTCTGCCAAAACTTACTCAAAAAAGGGGATCGCGGTACGAGATGATCGAGCTAGGGAACCCATGAAGCTTAACCATTAAGTCCACAAACAACTCTGTTGTCCTAGAAGCCGTGAACTGGACTGGTAACGTGCCAAAATGAGCGGACTTGGTGAGGCGATCCACCACCACGAGAATCACCGTAAAACCGCGTGACAGCGGCAGGCCCGTAATGAAATCCATGGTGACCTCATCCCAAACCAAGGAAGGAATTGGCAGGGGCTGGAGTAACCCTGCAGGGGCTTGGGTGGAGTATTTAATCTGTTGGCACACCTGACAGGACGTAACAAACTGCTCAACATCCGTTCACATTTTGGGCCAATAGAACGCATAAGAAAGCCGTACTAAAGTGCGCTTTATCCCTGCATGACCCGCCAGAGGTGTGGCATGGAACTCATGCAATAGCATGGATTTCAAGGCAGACTGAGGACTGACATAGTAACGATTTCGAAAGAAAAGAAAACCATTGTGCACCGTATAGGCCGAAGGTAGGGAACCCCCCTGAAACTGGCCGTGAAGGTTCACCAACTCAGGACACATAGACTTCTCAGTGCGTAAAGTCGATAACAAGTCAAAAGATGGCCGACTGATCAAAGGCAGACAAACCGCGGATGATCCGGTTATGGCGGTGCTACCATCTTCATGGACCCGGGACAAGGCATCTATAGCCTGATTAGTACGGCCAGGTTTATATTCGATCCGAAAATGGAAACCCAACAACTTCCAGATGTAAACATGTCGGTCTGGTGAATGAACCACTTGTTAGAGGAGTTCTTTAATACTCTTATGGGCCGTGCGGATATTGAAGAAATGACCTAAGAGATACTGGCGCCACTTTTGGATGGCTTCGGCGATAACATGTAACTCTTTGAGGTATGCAGAGGAAGCTCGCAACCGAGGTCCTAACTTCTTGCTAAAGTACGAGATCGGATGCCCACCCTGCATGAGGACAACCCCAATGCCGACATTAGAGGCATCAGTTTCGATGAGGAAGTCCACTTCGAAGTTTGGTAACCGCAACACCGGCGCCTCTACCTTGGCACGCTTCAGGGCCTCAAAAGCTTCCATGGTTGTCACAGTCCACGTAAAAGCGTCATTGCATAACAAATCAGTGAGCGAGGCCGCAAGGGAGGCATAGCCCCAAATGAAATGCCTGTAATACCCCGTGAAACCTAAAAATCCCCTAAAATGCTTTAAGGTTTTAGGTGCAGGCCAAGCCACATTGCTTCAATCTTCTGTGGATCCGCCTATACCCCACCAGCTGAAACAATGTGCCCTAAATAGTCGATAGTGCTCTGGCAAAAAGGCATTTGGATAGTTTGACAAAGAACTAATTAGCATGCAGGCGTGATAATACTTGGCTGAGGTACATAACGTGATTAGATTCTGAAGAACTGTAAACCAAGATATCATAAAAAAAAACACAAATTTACGTAAAAAGGAAGCAAAAAGCTGGTTCATTGTTGCCTGGAAGGTCGAGGGAGCGTTCGTCAATCCGAACGGCATCACCAAGAATTCATAGTGGCCCTCATGAGTGCGGAAAGCCATTTTGTAGATGTCCCAATTATGCACGTGAATTTGGTGGTAACCAACCCGCAAATCCAACTTACTAAAAACTAAAGCGCCACCGAGCTCAGAGCACGATAATCAACACAAAACCAGTACGTGCCATCTTTTTTCTTCACTAGCAAGACCGGCGAAGAGAAAGGGCTCTGACTGGGCCTGATGATGCCCTATTCTAGCATCTCACGAATAAGCTTCTCCATCTCGTTCTTTTGAAAATGAGGATATCTATACGGCCGCACATTAATAGGGTTGCTATGCGGAAGCAAGTGGATCTTATGATCGATAGTGCGATGAGGAGTGAGTCCAATTAGAGGAAGAAACAGGCCATGGTACTGGTGTAATAAGGCGGCAATGGACTCAGGTAAGGAACTAGGAAACTCCAGGAACGGTGTCTCACCCCCTGGGCAAACTAGCATCGCATCAGGCTCACTTAACGGGTGCAGCGCGAATAAACTGTGGATAGCTGCACTGTGAATTAACGCCTGGAACTGGAGAAGGGTAATAAGGCTCGGTGTAGCAGCTAAGTCACCCCGAAGAACCACTTGGCGTCCCTCCCAGCAAAAATCCATAGAGAGAGCTGAGTAATCATGAGACACGCGACCAAGTTGTTGTGGCCATTGGATACCCAAGACAACATCCGGACCCTCAATAGGTAAAATAAAAAGATCCAAAAAGAAAACAGTCCCTGCATCGATAGGGCGACCTGAGGGCATGAATATTGGCACACCAGGAAATCACCATTGCCAATATAGACCCGGAAAGGAGCGATAGGTTGAATTGCAAGGCCCACTCGTTCAGCCAATGCCGGTTTGAGGAAATTATGAGTGCTGCCATTGTCAATAAGGACATGAAGGCGATGAGAGCCAAGCTCGCCAATCAAGTGAAGCGAGCAGGGATTGCCTTGTCCTGCTAAGGCATTCAAACTCGAAATATCCCCTGCAGTAGCCTTGTCAAGCTGCTCTGATAAAGAAGAATTAACTCCATAGTCCTCCTCTGTATCATCTGTGCCCAAGAGGAGAAAAAACTTACTACGACAACGATGGTTAGCACTATATTTTTTATCGCAATTGTAGCAGAGACCTTTTTCACGCTTTTCCCGTAACTCGGCCTGAGAGAGATGATGAATGGGTTAGGACGGTGATGGGAGCAGAGGGGGTAAGGAGTTCTATTTGGAAGTGGAGGAACTAGGGGCGGTAGTTGGGGGTGAAGTATGGGTAACATATGGACTGGTGAGGAACACAGGAGATCCATGCAATTCTGATCGCAGCTCCTCCAAACGGGAATCGTCGGTGGTCATGTACTGTTGTAAAGTCTGATGCAGAGCGAGCGTTTGTCCTTCGAATTAGGCCTGCAATGCCTTGACCGCCGTAAGAACCTCCGAATCCGCCATGAACAAAGGCAATGAAAGCACCAATTGATACGCCTAACCTGCAATTTCACACTGTTAGACGAAAAAAACCACACTCTTCGAGCGAGTGCCAGCTCCAGAATTTCAGAAACAGAAAGAAGGAAGAAGAAGAGGATTTCAACTTGGATATTTCATTGCTTGAGAAAAACTAACGGTATTCCAGTGACTCTTATACCTCTTGCCTCCTGATCCCAGCTACAGAGGCAATGCAACAAATTAACAAAAGGAGTTACAGAAATGCAATGGCTATGGAATCGAAGCAAAACAAAAATAGGAAAAGCTCTCAACAATCTCGAGGTCTCCCCTCTAGACTAGTAATTCCTAACGACAATTTATTCTTCAAACGACATAGTCTTCTAACCACGCTGGAGCCCTCCTGTTCCGTTTTGGGCCTTTTGCCATTTGGGCTGTGCCCTGCTCTTGGGCCATGTTCTGCTCTTGGGCCATGTCCTGCTCTTGCTGACTCACCTCCTTTGCTGGTGAGCTGGGCCCTTCCACATGTTGTCCAATTTGAAGAG